CATTTCTCCAAAGAAGACAGACAGATGGCCAAGAAGCACATGAAAAGCTGCTCAACATCACTAATCATTAGAGAAATGCAAATCATAACTACAATGGGGTCCTCACACCAGTTAGAAAGGGCAAGGTCAGAAAATCTACAAACAACAAACGCTGGAGAGGGTGTGGAGAAAAGGGAACCCTCTTGCACTGTTGGTGGGAATGTAAATTGATACAGCCACTATGGAGAACAATATGGAGGTTCCTTGAAAGACTAAAAATAGAACTACCATATGACCCAGCAATCCTACTACTGGGCATATACCCAGAGAAAACCGTAATTCAAAAAGACTCATTCACCACAATCTTCATTGCAGCACTATTTACAATAGCCAGGTCATGGAAGCAACCTAAATGCTCATCAGCAGAGGAATGGATCAAGAAGATGTGGCACATATATACAATGGAATATTACTCAGCCATAAAAAGGAACGAAATTGGTTCATTTGTAGAGATGTGGATGAATCTAGAGACTGTCATGCAGAGTGAAGTAAGTCAGAAAGAGAAAAGCAAACATTGTATATTAACACATATATATGGAACCTAGAAAAATGGTACAGATGAACCGGTTTGCAGGGCAGAAACTGAGACACAGATGTAGAGACAAACGTATGGACACCAAGGGGGAAAGTGGCTGGGGGGGCTGGGATGAACTGGGAGATTGAGATTGACATGTATACACTAATATGTATAAATGGATAACTAATAAGAACCTGCTAATAAAAAAAAAAAAATTCAAAAATTCAAAAATTCAAAAATAAATAAATAAGAAAACAAATTTGCAGAAATGTCAAACAATGCCCCTCTTCTTACTAATTTTTTTGTAGTGTGGAAAATATAGTTATTTTAAAAATGTGTTATTTATATTAACATGTAATGTTTTTATTATTTTTGAAAATAAAAGTATAAATAATTTCTTTTCAGTTTTAACTTTGAATACAGTAGGTGTGGATAGATATAACCTACACAAACGTTGTTTGGGTCCTCAATATTTTTAAGAGCATAAAAGTGTTTGGGGGGATATAATGTTTGAGAACTGTTGGGTGAAAGGATAACTATGATTTCCAATTAAACTTCTTTCAGAAAACTCATTCAGGCAAGCCTAGTTTCTTTTTGGCTTCTGACACCTAGACTCCAGGCACAAAGTGCAATATGAACTGGAGATTTAGCCATTGATGGGTACTATGATCAGCACAGTTGAAAACAATTTGTATAACTTTGGCCAAAAGTTCCTTTTGGGATCAAAATGAATTTGTTGCCTATTTTGATCAAATTGATCAGAAATGGACTGGCTCTATTCGTTACTATGTAGATACATAAAGCAATTGGGATTCTGTGTAGTGAGAGGTATCATTCTGGTGGCAAGCAACAGAAGGTGACTCTGGCTAACTGGGCAGAGAAGTTGTTTATCAAGAGGATCCTGGGAGCTCTCAGAGTTGTTAGGAGAAATGGAGAGCCAGGCTTGAAGCTGAGCTTCCAGGAGCAATGAAAACATCACTCCCTAGAACTGGACTGAGGGGGGATCACTGCCCCTTCTGTGGTGGAGGGACCACCAAGCCCCCGAGGAAACCACCACTGCTTCTGCGCCGGGATCTCAACCTTACAAATGTTGTTATCCCAAAAGTCAGACCTCTTGCCACCATTCTGCCAGCAAAACGGATCTTCTGGAAATTTCTTTCCTTAAGTTGCTCTTTTGGAATCAAAGTGTATAGGAGTGTGTCCGATTGGTGGAACCTGAGATGCATGTCTTCATTCAAGTTGCAAGAAAGGCTGGAATTTGCTTTGAGATTTCTAAGTTCTGCTTAGGAGAAGTGGGATGCACAGAGCTGAAATTATCCCAAACATAGCAAAATCATTTAACAGGAGCCAAGAAGTCAGAAAACACAACTGATTTTTGCAGTACGTGGTATAAGAAACCATAGAGTTGTGGTTATGTAAGAAGCTGCAGGGTTAGGCAGATTTGGGTTCAAATTCTGCCCCTGTTACTGCCATCAGCTGTAGAACCTTAAGAAAGTCACTTAAATTCTCAAAGCCTCAATGATCTCACCTGCATCTAAGTTAATTTCCTGGATGAAATAACATGTAATATAATATTGTGTGTACCCAGTAGGCACCCCAAAAATGATAGCCATTAATATTACCAATCTTCAGGCTCTGCAATAGACAGACACATTTTTCCCTAAAGGGGTAAGGGGAAGCCGAGGCACAGGGAGGCCAAGGGACTTGCATAAAATTTGAGCAAGAGCTAACTAACATCAGGACGTGCTTCTGAGCTCACTGATTCTGGGTCCAGCTCCCATCCCAGTTCCTAAGCCTCATCACCTCCTTCTGTAATCAAAATGTGGCACAAATAATAAAGATCTCATTTTAGCCAGTTATTTTTGGGTGGCTTTACTTATCCTTATATTTAAGGTGAGCTTTACTTATCTTTCTTATTCTTTTCCGCATTCTTTGAAAATTTACTAACGAGTACATAGTATTAAAAAAATTTTTAACTAGCCATGAAGATGATTTTATTCTGGGGAACAAAGATCTGTTTCAGTTTGGGTTCCCCTCAAAGCTGAGCCTAAAATGAGGATTTGGGATTTGGGGATAGTTTATGTAGGAGGTGATAGAAGTCTAAGTCCTGGTTTTCTAATGAACTAGAGATATTAATCTAGACGACTATTTCCCAAGGGTGGATCAGTGATCAAGAGAGTGCTACCAGAGATTATCTAAATAATAGGGTTCCATGGTGAAATTAATGTGGGAGATGCTGGGACAAAAAGGTATTTTTACCATAGGACTTCTCAGAGCCTTTGGCCTGCTAATGCACAGTGAGAGTCTCTGAGAGGGACTCGTAGCACCACTCCCCACTGTTATCCCAAAAGGACTTTGTAGGATTAATACTCTCATGAGTATTTTGGGAAATGCTGCATGATCTCAGAGGTCACTTCAAATTATATAGTTAGTAATTTCTATAATCTCATTTAATCTTCCTCCCAAGTCAGCAAGATGAGGAACCATGTTGAAAATCACTTGTCAACACCAAGAAGCCAGTTATGGGCATAAATGAAATCAAATCCAAATCTTTTGGGCCATTTTTTTTCTACAGAGTGAGAAGGGCAGGCATTATAGGCTGAAGTGTGCTCCCCAAGAAGATATGTCAAAGTTTAACCCCTACACCTCAGAATGTGACCTAATTTGGAAAAAGAGCCTTTGCAGAGGTAACCAAGTAAAAATGAGGTCATTGTGGTAGGCCCTAATCCAAATGACTTGTGTCCTTCTAAGAAGGGGAAACTTGGACACAGGTGCTCCTAGACAGAAGATGGTGTGAAGCTACGGGGAGAATGCCATGGGGGAGGCAGAGATTGGAGGTATGAGGTCACAAGCTGAGGAGTCTCCAGAGCTATTGAAACAGGCTGGGACTTGGGACCCTTTACCGGAGTGCTTACACGTGGACAAACGTCTCCTCCGAGCAACAGAATACAAAGAAACTATAAGGGACTAAAAGTACTGCACGCGTCCACAGCTGGAGCAATTATGAACAATAAGATACACAAAGGTCACAAACCAACTGCCACTTCTGAGGTGCCAGGAGCAAAAGCAGGGTGCAACACAGGACCCCTGCACACAGGGGGTGGGCAGTCCACTGAAACCAGCCCTGCGGCCCAACCCATCCATCTGCCCCTACCCTCCTTCCACCTTCGGAACAAAGGAACCTGTTACTTGTTTTTGCTCCCTCATCCTGTAGCACAGGTCCCAGTAAAGCCTTGCCTGAATTCCTTGTCTAGCCTATCAATTTCTATTGATTAAAGAGTCCAAGGACCAGAGTCAGTAACACTATCAGAAGCTGAAAGAGGCCAGAAGGATCTTTCTCCTATACATTTCAGAGGGAATATGGCCCTGCCACCACCTTGATTTTGGACTTCTAGCCTCCAGAGCTGTTAAACAGTACATTTCTATTTCTCTAAGCCACCCAGTTTGTGGGTACTTTGCTACAACAACTCCAGGAAATGAACACAGCAGATGTGATAGAAGCCCTAAAATGATGCTTCTAGGCTCCTGTTAATCAGACCCAAGGCTGAGCTGCGAACACAGCAGAGCATAGCCAGCCTGTAGAGAAAGCTATTGGCCTCAGCCTGGGGGAGACAGTGCTTTTGTTTAACAGCTAAGAACAAGGAGATCCTCCATGCTTTCCTTGGACCCAGTCTCTCTCCTCCCTTGTCTTCTCACCTTGGCAACGAACAAGAGAACTTGGAGGCTCATAATACTTTTATAAACCAACAGAGCCCCTTTGATGTTCATTTTCCTTGTGTCTGAGCAGGGCTGTTTCCTGGTGCTGGGCTGCCAGGCTGTGGAATGTGACTTCTCTCCATGGAAAGAGCCAAGAGCAAGCTTTGCCAGCAGAATTGGCTGGGTCAGAGCTGCCCCCCGGTGCAGACACCTGTTACTCCAGTCTACTTGTGGAGACCTCCTGGGTGTTCAATGCCTCAGGCAGGACTCGAACCTCTGACTATGTGTCACTTCTGCATCGACATAATAAGACCTTTCGATTATGTGTCCCAAACAGGTTTCTGAGGTATTAGGAGCAGAGGATTAAATCCCTACACTGACTATAAAAAAGGGAGGGCATCCCCATTTTATTGATAGGCAAACTGAGGCCCAGGTAGCTTAAAGGACTTTTTCCAGGGTCACAGAACTAATTCATGGCAGAGCTGAGACTCCCCCGACAAATGAGCTGCATGTGGGAGGAACTGGATGTTTACGTGAGAAAACACAGCTGCAAGGCAATGGGTACTTGGTGGGTAGAGAAAGGGGCAGCTGCCCAAGGGAAGTGCTGAGAAATGGGAGATTGGTGGGCCACAGAGCCCCAGCTTTGGAGTAAGAACCAGCTTTGAATCTAGGTTTTGCAAAATACCAGCCGCAAGTTGCTCTCTGTGCCTCAGTTTATCTGATAAATGAAGAAAATACTTGTACCTACTTCATTAAGCTGTTCTGGCCATCAGATGACAGGACACGTGTACTAAACTTGACATCCACCATGTGGGAATCGAGTCATTCGATACATCACAAGTATTTTGGTGGTGGTGTTCATTAACAGCTCTAGTCATCCTTCACCTCTGCCTGGAGCTGACCTGGTAAATGCTGGTCCCGCTGTGGTAGGTAGGCTCAATTTTGGAAAGAAGATGACCACGCTGATGAGGACTTGGGTGTGGCTCCAAGCCAGGAAAGGCCCTCGGCAGCTCGTGGGAGCGGGGGAGCAATAGGAGATCCAAGACCGCAGAAGCCTATTCCTGCAGCTTACTCTGAGGGCCTGTGAACAAAACAAAGCAAAACCTGGTATGAAGTTTCCAAACAGTTCTCAACTGCTGCCAAGCCTGGATCTGTTTTCTGAGTCACACCGAGGCAGCTTCATCCCCCACTCCTTCCAGGGGCAAGGCCTCATGACCCTTGGGAGCTGGAATCCCCCCTGAGCAATGGAGCAACTGATGGCGAGAGCTTGTGTTCCCAGGGAGGCTCCTGGCTCTTGTCCCTGCAGCTCTCACGTTGAGCCATACCAAAAGGTGGAGACACAGGGTTGCAATAAAATCCAGAAGGTCAACTCGGCTGAAAGTGAATATTAGCCCCTCAGGTATTAAATAGGAGGGCGAGTCCTCAGACTCTTCACTCTTCTCACATAGAAATGTCTATTCCCTGCCTATACCCGAGCGTAGGTCTCACAGTGATATTTCCCTGCTTCTGAGCCTTCCATGGCTCCCTATTATCTGTGTCCTATAGGATAAACTTAAACTTCAAGACCCTTGAAGAACTGGCTTTGGTCTTCCTCTGCACCCTGGCCCCCCCCCCCTTTTTTTTTAAACATCTTTATTGGAGTATAATTGCTTTACAATGGTGTGTTAGTTTCTGCTGTATAACAAAGTGAATCAGCTATATGTATACATATATCCCCATATCCCCTCCCTCTTACGTCTCCCTCCCACACTCCCCATCCCGCCTCTCTAGTGGGACACAAAGCACCGAGCTGATCTCACTGTGCTATGCAGCTGCTTCCCACTAGCTATCTGTTTTACATTTGGTAGTGTACATATGTCCATGCCACTCTCTCACTTCGTCCCACCTTACACTTCGCCCTCCCTGTGTCCTCAAGTCCATTCTCTACCTGTGCATCTTTATTCCTGTCCTGCCCCTAGGTTCTTCAGAACCTTTTTTTTGTTTTCTTTAAGATTCCATATATATGTGTTAGCATACAGTATTTATATTTCTCTTTCTGACTTACTTCACACTGTATGACAGTCTCTAGGTCCATCTACCTCACTACAAATAACTCAATTTAGTTTCTTTTTATGGTTGAGTAATATTCCATTGTATATATGTGCCACATCTTCTTTATCCATACATCTGTCGATGGACACTTAGGATGCTTCCATGCCCTGGCTACTGTAAATAGTGCTGCAATGAACACTGTGGTACATGATTCATTTGGAATTATGTTTTTCTCAGGGTATATGCCAAGTGGTGGGATTGCTGAGTCATACAGTACTTCTATTTTTAGTTTTCTAAGGAACCTCCATATTGTTCTCCATTGTGGCTGTATCAATTTACATTCCCTCCAACAGTGCAAGAGGGTTCCCTTTTCTCCACACCCTCTCCAGCATTTATTGTTTGTAGATTTTTTTGATGATGACCATTCTGACCGTTGTGAGGTGATACCTCATTGTAGTTTTGATTTGCATTTCTCTCATGATTAGTGATGTTAAGCATCCTTTCCTGTGTTTGTTGGCAATCTGTATATCTTCTTTGGAGAAATGTCTATTTAGGTCTTCTGCCCATTTATGGATTGGGTTGTTTGTACTTTTGATATTGAGCTGCATGAGCTGCTTGTATATCTTGGAGATTAATCCTTTGTCAGTTGCTTCGTTTGCAAATATTTTCTCCCATTCTGAGGGTTGTCTTTTCATCCTGTGTATAGTTTCCCTTGCTGTGCAAAAGCTTTTAAGTTTCATTAGGTCCCATTTGTTTATTTTTGTTTTTATTTCATTTCACTAGGAGGTGGGTCACAAAGGATCTTGCTGTAATTTATGTCATAGAGTGTTCTGCCTATGTTTTCCTCTAAGAGTTTGATAGTGTCTGGCCTTACATTTAGGTCTTTAATCCATTTGGAGTTTATTTTTGTGTATGGTGTTAGGGAGTGTTCTAATTTCATTCTTTTACATGCAGCTGTCCACTTTTCCCAGCACCACTTCTTAAAGAGGTTGTCTTCTCCATTGTTTATTCTTGCCTCCTTTATCAAAGATAAGGTGACCATATGTGTGTGGCTTTATCTTTGGGCTTTCTATCCTGTTCCATTGATCTATATTTCTGTTTTTGTGCCAGTACCATACTCTCTTGATTACTGTAGCTTTGTAATATAGTCTGAAGTCCGGGAGCCTGATTCCTCCAGCTCTGTTTTTCTTTCTCAAGATCGCTTTGGCTATTCAGGGTCTTTTGTGTTTCCATACAAACTGTGAAATTTTCTGTTCTAGTTCTATAAAAAATGCCATTGGTAGTTTGATAGGGATTAAACTGAATCTGTAGATTGCTTTGGGTAGTATAGTCATTTTCACAATGTTGATTCTTCCAATCCAAGAACATGGTATATCTCTCTATCTGCTTATATCATCTTTAATTTCTTTCTATCAGTGTCTTATAGTTTTCTGCATACAGGTCTTTTGTCTCCTTAGGTAGGTTTATTCCTTTTCCTTGCAATGGTAAATGGGAGTGTTTCCTTAATTTCTCTTTCAGATTTTTCATCATTAGTGTATAGGAATGCCAGAGATTTGTGTGCATTAATTTTGTATCCTGCTACTTTACCAAATTCATTGATTAGCTCTAGTAGTTTTCTGGTGGCATCTTTAGGATTCTCTATGTATAGTATGTCACCTGCAAACAGTGACAGTTTTTCTTCTTCTTTTCCAATTTGTATTCCTTTTATTTCTTTTTCTTCTCTGTTGCTGTGGCTAAAACTTCCAAAACTATGTCGAATAAGAGTGGTGAGAGTGGGCAACTTTGTCTTGTTTCTGATCTTAGTGGAAATGGTTTCAGTTTTTCACCATTGAGAACAATGCTGGCTGTGGGTTTGTCGTATATGGCCTTTATTATTTTGAGGTAGCTTCCCTCTATGCCTACTTTCTGGAGAGTTTTTATCATAAATGGGTGTTGAATTTTGTCAAAAGCTCTTTCTGCATCTATTGAGATGATCATATGGTTTTTATCCTTCAATTTGTTAATATGATGTATCACATTGATTGATTTGTGTATACTGAAGAATCTTGCATTCCTAGGATAACCCCACTTGATCATCGAGTATGATCCCTTTAATGTGCTGTTGGATTCTGATTGCTAGTATTTTGTTGAGGATTTTTGCATCTATGTTCATCAGCGATATTGGCCTGTAGTTTTCTTTCTTTGTGACATCTTTGTCGGGTTTTGGTATTAGGGTGATGGTGGACTCGTAGAATGAGTTTGGGAGTGTTCCTCCCTCTGCTATGTTTTGGAAGAATTTGAGAAGGATAGGTGTTAGCTCTTCTCTAAATGTTTGACAGAATTCACCTGTGAAGCCATCTGGTCCTGGGCTTTTGTTTGTTGGAAGGTTTTTAATCACAGTCTCAATTTCACTGCTTGTGATTGGTCTGTTTATTTAATTTAATTTAATTTTATTTATTTTTCTTTTGTGGTATGCAGGCCTCTCACTGTTGTTGCCTCTCCCGTTGCGGAGCACAGGCTCCGGACGCGCAGGCTCAGCAGCCATGGCTAACGGGCCCAGCCGCTCTGCGGCATGTGGGATCCTCCCGGACTGGGGCACGAACCCATGTCCCCTGCATCAGCAGGTGGACTCTCAACCACTGTGCCACCAGGGAAGCCCTGGTCTGTTTATATTTTCTATTTCTTCCTGGTCCAGTCTCAGAAGGTTGTGCTTTTCTAAGAATTGGTCCATTTCTTCCAGGTTGTCCATTTTATTGGCATAGAGTTGCTTGTAGGAATCTCTCATGATCCTTTGTATTTCTGCAGTGTCAGTTGTTACTTCTCCTTTTTCTTTTCTAATTCTGATTTGAGTCTTCTCTCTTTTTTTCTGGATGAGTCAGGCTAATGGTTTATCAATTTTGTGTATCTTCTCAAAGAACCAGCTTTTAGTTTTATTGATCCTTGCTACTGTTTCCTTCATTTCTTTTTCATTTATTTCTGGTCTGATCTTTATGATTTCTTTCCTTCTGCTAACTTTGGGTTTTTTTTGTTTTACTTTCTCTAATTGCTTTAGGTGTAAGCTTAGGTTGTGTGTTTGAGATGTTTCTTGTTTCTTGAGGTAGGACTGTACTGCTATAAACTTCCCTCATAGAACTGCTTTTGCTGCATCCCATAGGTTTTGGGTTACCGTATTTTCATTGTCATTTGTTTCTAGGTATTTTTTGATTCCCTGTTTGATTTCTTCAGTGATCTCTTGGTTGTTAAGTAGTGTATTGTTTAGCCTCCATGTGTTTGTATTTTTTACAGATTTTTTTTCCTGTAATTGATATCTAGTCTCATAGCGTTGTGGTCAGAAAAGATAGTTGATATGATTTCAATTTTCTTAAATATACTGAGGCTTGATTTGTGACCCAAATATGATCTATCCTCGAGAATGTTCCATGAGCACTTGAGAAGAAGGTGTATTCTGTTATTTCTGGATGGAATGTCCTATAAATATCAATTAAGTCCATCTTGTTTAATGTGCCATTTGAAGCTTGTGTTTCCTTATTTATTTTCATCTTGGATGATCTGTCCATTGGTGAAAGTGGGGTGTTAAAGTCCCCTCCTATGATTGTGTTACTGTCGATTTCCCCTTTCATGGCTGTTAGCATTTGCCTTATGTATTGAGGTGCTCCTATGTTGGGTGCATAAATATTTACAATTGTTATATTTTCTTCTTGTATTGATCCCTTGATCATTATGTAGTGTCCTTCTTTGTCTCTTGTAATAGTCTTTATTTTAAAGTCTGTTTTGTCTGATATGAGAATTGCTTCTCCAGCTTTCTTTTGAATTCCATTTGCATGGAATATCTTTTTCCATCCCCTCACTTTCAGTCTGTATGTATCCCTAGGTCTGAAGAAGTGGGTCTCTTGTAGACAGCATATATACTGGTTTTGTTTTTTATCCATTCAGCCAGTCTATGTCTTTTGGCTGGAGCATTTAATTCATTTACATTTAAGGTAATTATCGATATGTATGTTCCTATTACCATTTTCTTAATTGTTTTCGGTTTGTTATTGTAGGTCTTTTCCTTCTCTTGTGTTTCCTGCC